GTTTCATAAACAACGAATTATATATGGAGAACATGTATGAAATATATGCCTTGTTATGACTGAACTGCACTTAATAAAGGACCTAGAAACAGGTGAAATAAAAAGATGTCTCTGTCTATACAAGAGTGGCCAATCTGCAGCATAAGTGCCACAAATAGCACAGACAGCGTCTGTGTGTGTGGCATGCAGCAGATCAGGGAGGGGACAGACAGCACAGCAGCAGACAGGGCAAGAAGCAGAGGAGGTGAGTCAGGGGGCACAAGAAAAAAGCAGAAAGCAGAGTATGAGATGAGACAGAGGGCAAGAGGCAGAAAGCAGAGCAGATCAGGCAGGGTAAGGGGATTAGAGTGGGACTTGGGGAAGGTACAGGACTAATTTGTGGCATACCTGCCAAAAAGGTTGGTTTCTCTGGTCACTAGAGTAGAACCCAGGTTTTTCACAGAGACAGTTTTCCAACCCCACCCTCCTCCCACCTGTGAAGATGAGTTTGCAAAATATCCAGCACAGGACTACTGAGGTGCACCAGGTTTTTGCTGCAACTTTGAAGTGACACCCTTGCAATTAAATCAGCTGCAGGGGACTGTTGCTGTGCTTTACCCAAGTGGTAAAGCAGCATCCTTTGAAGCAAAATCCACAGAAAACAGCCAAGTGGCTCATACTTGTCAACTGACTGCAAACTAAGTAGGCTGAAGCCACCTAGATATAAATGAGTTGGGTTCTACTGCACCAAGTTCTGTGTTGCTGTAGCTCAATTGTTGATAGTATCCATGATGTCTATTTTAGGTACTGGCAACATGAGCTGTAGCTATAATATGGGTATGTTGTCACTTTTGCATGACTAAATGATCGCTAGAGCTAACAGGGCCTCTTCAGCAGCCTAAGCCTTAGCCTTAGCCATGTCTCAGTACCCCTGCTCAGACATGGTCCCACTCTCTGACAACAGCATAAAAAAGCTCAACTGTTTCATGCCTCCTTGAATTACCTGTTGGCACAGATAACATACAACTAGAATGTATTAATGGCCTCTTTGCATTGCAGGGTTAGAACAAAGATTCTGAGGTATGGGCTAAGATCTATCTCTCTGGGTGCGTCTACATGAGATGCTTAATGTGCAGTAGAGTAACTGACCAAGCATTATAGTGTCAATGCCATAGGAGACTTGTGCCACCTGAGTTGGGAGGCGGGGCATGTGTCCCCCCTAGCAGCCAGTCACCGAGGGATGGGGGTTCCCCATGGCCGATTGTGCTGACCATCAGCAGTGCTCCCATAAGTGACAGCAGTGCTTCGCCTGGCATCCCCACTCCCCGGCCAGCGCATGCGGGGGGCGCCCACCGGTGCTCCCACCTGCTCCCTCTGCCCGTCGTCCAAGCAGTGAGCGCTGCCTGTCAGGGGGTAGACCACCACTCTCAGGGGGTGCACCCCCAAGCGTCGCCACTGGTCAAGGCAGAAGCTACGCTATTCGGCTAACATGCAGTAGTATTAGTCTACTGTGCGTTAACCGTCACAAAAAAGTGTGCGATATCACTAACACGCAGTATGGCAGCCTGCTGCGCATTTATTTAGTATTTCCTTTTGCAAGTACTAAATTTAATGTGCAGTAGGCACTGAGCGTTAATTAACATGTAGACATACGCATTAATGAACATGTAGACATATCTACTGTATATGGAATGCTAAAATATTGTACTGGAGAACTAAAATATTTAGAAGGTCATCTAGGCTAGGCTTTTATGCAACCATCTGCTTTTAAAAATGTGACTTTCCTGTTTTATGGGAATCCATGTTTTATGCTGGTGAACTGCAAAGCTGTTGCTGTGCTTATAAATATTCTTTTCTTTACTGCTAGCTCCGAGACATCACTCTAGGCTTTATATTTGTGTCTACTCAACACAACTGAACTGTTCCTAGTTGTACTAATGAAACAAACTGGTTTAAGCAAAAATGGTTCCACATGTCCACACTAATCCTGCTGATCTGAACTTTGCATTTGAACCTGACTCCACACAAATGCTGTTCTCTACAATTCTGGCAAATATTCCAGTGTTCCCAGCAATAATAATTTCAGAGAGGTGTCAAAGTGTTGCCTCAAGAATCCCAGAAAGAAAACTGCAAGATGTCAAACCTTCATAACCCTCTGGAAAGGTCCCTTAAATCTCCTGAAGTCAGCAATAGCTCAAAACCTTTTTTGTAAACAGTACCAATGCAGAATCCTCTCTCTTCAGCAAGGAAATTTTCTGCAGCTGCTTTTGAAAAACTATTGGGAAAACATCCAAGATAATATTCCAGGGGTATCTGACAAACCAAGCACAGAAGACTAACCTGTGGAACTCAACAGGCAGACAGCCAGGCACCTATTGAGTATGTTCCAAAACCTGCCTCACATGCCTTCTCTTGTCAGTTCTCACAATTATGTCCAGCCCATTTAATTCTCTGTGCTTTTATCTGAAGTATATCTATCAAGAATAGAAACCTTGCCCTTTTAAAATTGTATCTTTTTCCTCTCTCAATTTTAAAAAATGGGAGTTCTACAAATATTGAATAAGTGTATGCATTATTGATGCAACATCAGATTAACATTTAGGAAAGTGTAACTGATACCCCTATTTTCTAATTAGCATGTTTTGCATCACAAAATGAATCTTATTTGGTATATCGATCTCATTGGTTTAACAGATTCAAATCAACAAAAAAAAGAAACAACACAGTAGAGAAGATCTAGTTTACAGCTTGAATCTTCCTTCAGATCAAGATTTAAATGCAAGTGTTTCATACATTTGCTTAGTTTTCCTTTCAGCAAACAGGCACACTAATATGTTAAAGATGCAAGTATTTTTGACCTACATGTTTTATCAATGCTACTCTGAATGTAAAAAAGAAAGAAAGAAAGAAAGATCTTTACTGACACCCTGTGGCAGAAAAAACCAAGAAGTTATACAGATATGTGCACACACAATATTTACCACCATCATCAGAATCATCCTCAGCTATCCACCATGGCACAGCATCTTTTTTTTTCGATTCTTTCCTACTGGGTTTCCCCAGTGTCTCAAGAACACTGGACTTTTCTTTTGAATGTCCAAACGAATCATCTGAAAGAGACTGAATAAAAATTACACAGGATTAAGAGAGCTCTCCAGACAGATAAATTTTGGTTATACTTCAAGGTTTCCTGTGTTTCAATTATTTATTTTTAAAGGACCACGGCTCCTTATAAAAAAAATAAGACAACATTTCCATTTGGTTTTGAACATGACTGAAAGTTAATTCACACTATTTCTACATAGCCAGTCCAGAAGCTTATTCTGACCAGCCTATCTGCTGATCAACTATACCACTGTTTACTTAATTTACAAATACAGCTTGTGGACATAAATTCAGTAGGTGACTGGTTGCCTCTTAAGTGCTATGGGTTGGCTCATCAGTTACTATTGGAAAGGTGTCACAGATGTTTCCCAGTTGCTTTTCAAAAATGTTCTTGCTGAGGAAGGAGTATGGCCTAAACATTTTGCCTGGCCCGTATACTATAAAAATTCTGGCTTTAATAGGAATTGTAAAAATTAACTGCTCAGTAGCAGACAAGTACAAATGAACAATATGCTCAGCCTTTTGGATTTTACTCTTTGTGACAGTTAAAGGACTTATTTGCAGCAATTACTTTAAAATAAAAAAAATGGATCAGATCCTAGCCACATTCTCTCAGGCCACAGCATACAGCAGAAACTGCACAACTGTCCTTAATTAGCACCTGAGCAGCACAGTTAGGGTATGACTACACTGGACCCCTGCATGTACTAGTAGGGATGTTCCTAAGCATACTCTACCTACCAGCTCCCACTTGCATGCTCCACATATGCTGGGGCCATCTCCAGCAGCCACCCTCAAAAGCATGCTGGAGACCAGGGTTTTGAAAGGAAACAGAAGAACAGCACTGAAGTGGCTTCACCACAACATTCTCAGATTTGGAACAAGCGAAAAAGAGATGACAGAGTGTGCTTGAGAGTGTCCCTGCAGGACCCACTACTATAATATCCCAAAGGTAAGTCCCTGCCTTTTACCTCTGGGATGACCACTCAGGCATCAAGGTTCCTGATGTGGGTCAGAATTGCAAATTCTACTGTCTATGTTCTTGAAAATTAATTTTGCAAGGCAATATGCCTGAGCAACTATTCCCCAGTTCAATCAGCCTGGTGTCCACGCATGATTGCTAGTTAGTCATAGAGGGCACATCTACACGGGCAATTAACACGGAGCAATAAACTCCTACCAGCCCAGAGCTGCTCTGACTTGGCTCAAGGTGCTGCAGAGGGGCTGGCTGGGGCACGAGGGTGCTCCAGTGTAGGGCTAGCTGGCACTTGCATTCCCCCTTTCCCCCCCACAGTGCCTGTCTTCCCCTCCCAGTGCCTGCCTCCTACCACCTCCGTCCCCACCCCACTGGTTACCTTTGGAGCAGCTCTCAAAAACAGTGGTAGCAGCATTGTGCTCATCTGGAGCCAGAGCCTAAGGTAATCTGGGGAGGATTGGGGTGGTGGAGAGGGCAGGCTTCAGGGTCTTCCTCATGTGTGCCCCCCCGATGAATTTCTTCCATGTTCCCCTTACCCACACTCCTCCCACACCCACCACAGATCTTCATTACTGCGTGGTCCCCGCCACACTCCCCTGCCCATGAGCCACCCACGCCTAGGACATGCAGAAGCTCAATTGTGGCTTCAGTCCCAAGACCAAGTCTGAAGCTGGAGTGGAGCCCTGGGCTGGTACTAAACTAAGACAAGGCTTCCCCCCACAATGCTATTTGAGGAAAAACACCGCCTCTTGGATTTGAGTAAATACAGTATTACACTCAACTGGTTCTGAGTTTCACTCCACTTATGACAAGCGGAGAATCAAATGAGACAATGCAGCATGGGTTTAATGTGCTACTTTTTCCTCTACACAATAATTTAGGTTAAAAAAAACAAACTTTGGAAAGGTTAATTTAAAAAGTTGCAGCAATTAAATTTTAAGGCGTGTATCCGTTAAAACTTTACTGTTAAGAGTTAGCAAAAGCCAGGAAATCAAAGACTTATAGGATGTATACACAAGGTATACATGCAAGGTTATACAGCTGTGGAAATTTTAACTCTTACATTTCAAAAACCTTTGACAATTTTAAGAGTGCAATCTTGATACTGGAATCAACCAGGGTCTGTGTATTTAATGTGTATGAAACCAAAGGGTTATTAACATTAATAAGATCCTCTGTGGTCCATTATGAGTATTATTACAAGCAATGGTTTTACCATAAAATCTGACCTACACTTTACATTAAGAGCTAAACAAATGTAAATGGTCCTACTGAGAACAGCCATAAATCAAATATGAACCGTCTAAAATTAATAAACATTTAGTAACTGCTAACAAAAACAACAGCACAGGAAGACAATAGAATATTCTACAACAGGTATTCTAGCTAATACTTCTAGCCCACATCATTAGCTCTTAACAAGTTCTTGAGAACTAAAAAAAAGTTTTACAAAAATAAAAATCCATCTATCAGATTTTCATTAGGCTTCAGAAAGACAGCCTAATAACTATCAGCCTTGCAACATGAATTTTAGGCAAGCTAATGAAACGTCATTTGTAAATTGTGATGCTTTTAAAACCCCCCACATGATTTAAGCTTTTTATGCAGAGTTGTTCACTAGCTCAGAATAAAACAGCTTTAAATTTTTATTATGTTCCCTATAAATAATAACCCAAATAATTTCCTTGTACTAGTCACTACACAGGTATGTATTATGGTATCACTGTCCCAGAAGGATGGAGAGAAGAGTCCATGAGGATGAAGCACTTCTCTCTAGCTAGGAGTTACTGACAGGTTCTTCATGAAAGTTCTGTTATCACTTGCTGTTTCTTTTATGACTAACTGTATCCTCTACTCAGCAAGCGGGACTTGGACAATGCTTATATTCCTTGGAGTATCATAACTACAGAAACTAAAAACCCCAGCTGTTGTGATTGAGATCTGGAAACCTTCTATGTCCAGTCATCTTGTCTACTTCAAATAGTAAAGTTACAGCTGGGAAAGAAAACATTGACATACATAAAAAAGTCTAGCATGTCTTCCCACCATGTCAGTTGTCTTATCCCTAAGATTTACTGAAAATAGTAATAATAATAAAAAAAACCCTCTATTCCCCACCCAGCTGAATTCTCAGTATTAGTTCCCACTGCACACCCCCACAACACTGAAATGATACAGTGGAAAGTCACTTTTCCTCTGGCTAAATAGTAATGATTCTGATTTTTTTTTTTTCTTGTTGTACGTTAACTAAATTCAGAACAATTCTTCTTTTTATACACAAGCTTAATATGCTACCATGCACAGTCAATAGGACTACTCAAGCTAAGCAATGTACCAGGAATTGCAGGATTGGAGCTTTAAAATGTTAACTGTTCTCAGCTTAAGAATGTTGCAATCATTTAAATAAAATACTTCAAAGCCGTGTTTATTGGAAATTTTACATTATTTTTTTTTCAAGTGAACTGATACGAGACACGTTATTTTATATGCACAATCTTTTGAAAAAAAAAAATCAAGACTCCTTTAATAATTAATGTTTATCTTTCCAATATTATTTGGCAGGTTTTTCAATTAAGTGAATAAGCTTCCCCTTCTGAAACAAACTCTGCTTTCAGATGCCCAAGTATATGACTAAAACAGCAATTATCACATGACTCTAGGACCACACATGGCTTTCAGAGCTCCACTTGCAGTACTCATGAAACCTAAAACAAAGCAACTAGGGTGACAGTGGAATCAATGTTGGGTGACAGAGGATCATTGAAAGAACACCCAGAGAACATATGAGGAGGTTTGATAAGAACTTAGGGTGTGGGTAGGTGGGTGTCACAATGCAAAAAGAGACCACGTGAGGCCTTGAAATGGAGCAGGGATTGAATGCAGAGGTGTGAGACAAGTTCACTTGTGCATAGCGGCCAAAGGGATGACAACAAGCATTTGCTGTTGGTCATGAGAAACAAGTGAAACCATACAGCAACCAACTTATAAAGAGGAATTATGAATACAGGGAGAACACCATGCTTAAATCAGTGATAGTTATCAAGCTAAATATCAAGCCATTGTTGATGAAAAGTCTGGGAAATTTTTCCAAAGCCTTCACTAGAAGTTAGGTAATATCAGTCAAGTGCATATACTAACCTAATAAAAAGCCAGACCCTAAGCCTTGTAATCTTCAACTGTGATTTGCCTTTTTGACAGTCTTTCACTCCAAGCAAAACAAGCAGCTCTAACCCCAAGCACAAGCATTAGCTATGGAAAAAAACAAAATCTCACCATCGTACTTCTCAGTAAAAATTCTACATCATACTGCTTCCTCAAACTACTAACAAATATTAAAACTATTTCTACTATTCCATTACAACACCCAACACAAATGTATCTGTCAACTAAATAGCTATCTAACAGCACCCATTCAACCTTCTAAGCGAGTAGAAAATGTGTTTCCTAGCCCTATCATGGGCAGTGTAAAAGGCTGCAAATTTTCTTCCAGGTATAAAGTGAGGCAGCATGCATATAAGGCATGTTGGATGTGGGTGACGTCACGCGGAATAGATGAAATCCCAGCTGTATGTTTTTAGTGTGTTGAAAACTTAAGAATTACTAGGCCCTTATGGTTGGTTTGGTGGTATATGCACTTGAGCAAACCTAAATGTTTTTAAATCTTGACACAATCTGTTTTATATAGATTACATCAATGCAACATAAAAATACTTTTTCTTGGCAAAATCCACTTGTTGACTTTGTGGCAGGGCACTTGATGTGCCTGCTACTTTAAGAGATCAGGTAGCCTGCTGAGTGACTGGCAGGTGGGGGTCAGGGCTAACTGCAGGATCAGTTGACCCAGGGGGCTGGCAGGTGAGGCTAGAGCTGAGTAAAGGAGTCACCTGATTGGAAGAGGGCTGGGTGTAGCCAAAATATAAGCCCAGATCCTGAGAGCAGGGCTGGCAGTAACATCTTAGGAGCTGGTGAAAGAACATCACCCAGCAGGAAGACTGCTGCTCCTGAATGCCAGCAAGGAGAATAAGATCTACAGTTTTGGGTAGGAACTAAGAGGGTGGAGGAGGTTCCTCGGGGACCCAGTGTGGGGGTCCAGAGCCCTGAGAAGGGAGCTGAGTGCCTGGGACCTAGTGAGAGGCCAGATGAGCCCAGAGAGCGAGGGACTGAATGCAGAGGGGCCTAGTGAGAAGCCAGGTGAGCCCTGGGAGAGGGGCTGAGTCTGCGGGCCTATTCAAGGGCCAGATGAGTTCTGAGAGAGGGACTGAGTGTTTGGGAGATCTAGTGAAGGGATCTGGGTGAACCCAAAGAGTGGGGCAGAGTACAGGGGCTTATTGAGGGGTCTGGGTGAGCTCAGAGAAGGAAGCAGCTGCATTAAAGAAGACCTATGGAGGGCTCAAGGCAAGCCCAGAGAGAGGGAGTGATCTATGGAGAGGCCCAAGAGGGTGGACCCACAGAGAGGAGAGGGCTGATAGTTGGAGGACTGACCCTGGGAATCTCAACTGGCCTGTGTGGGGCCAGGGCCCAAGAGGGGCTGAAGAGTGAAATAGACCATGGCAAAGACTGCCAGAGCTGGGAGAGCCTGGAATTCTTGACTGGCCTGAGGCAGGGACAAGGCCTAAGAGAGGCTGAAGGTCCTTGTGTGGCCACAGCTGAGAGAAGAGAGTCAAGGAGTATGCAGCCTGGCATGGTGATGGCTTGTGCTAGGCCATCTGAGGAGGAAGGATCAAGGAAAGGCGTCCGAGAGTGAGCTGGGGGCCAGACATGGAGAATTCAGCTGGGAGATGGAGCCAGGGCTAGGGGGCCCAGTGGTTAGCAGGAGGAGCATAGGACATCTAAGGAGAGCCAAAAGGGGGACAAGTAAGATCAGGTAGGAAATCAGTCCTGAGGCAAGGGATCTGAGGCATACAGTGAGGCCCAGCAAGTATAGTGGGACTAGAAGGGGTCGGGAATAGAGCACAGGACCGGACAAGTCCAAAGGCCTGGAGAGTGGCCAGGAAAGTAGAAAACTAATACTGGTCCAGGATGAGGGACCAAAAGGGGCTGGCAGCCCAGAGAGGGGCAGGAGACACTGAGGGACCTGTTAGCCCAGGGAGTATGAGACTGACAGGTCTGAAGACCCAGAGAGGGGCTGGAAGAGAGACTGAGGGGTTTGGCAACCCAGGAAGGAGCTGCACTGTCAGACTGAGAGGTCTGAGGCCCAAAGTGGGGGTGAGAAGCCAAGGGGTTGGAAGACCCAGACAAGGGATGCATCAGCAAGTGGTAGAACATCTGTAAGAATACCATCTGTGAGGCCTGGGGCATGGTGTAGGGGAGGTATGGAGCCATGCAACTGGCCCATAAGGCCAAGACCACAATCCAGGTGGTCACTGTAATAAGATCAGTGTAGCCTCCCACATTCTGTATATCAACTAACTTCAAGGTGTGGTAAGCAAGAGATGGGCAGACTGCCTACAGAGTAGGGTATTTAAAAAAAAAATTTTGGATACCCTGTGACAGACTTATCTCAGAAACTCATTTGAAGTAAAATAATATTTGAAGAGTATTTTCCAACTCAAGTGTTTTCAATTTTGAGAGCATTTCAGATGAAACAGAATAAAGTGAAAGTGACCATCCACAGAATTCTGTCAGATGCACATATAAAATAAAATTAAGGAACAGGTTATTTTCTCCTGTCTTCTTCTGCTACTTTAGTTGCTTTGAGCTGTAGTAATTACCTGTTTTATTTGTAATAACAAGTAAAATAATTCTCAGAGAAATGCAGGTCTAACTCTCTTCTCACTTACATCAATAATTCCACTGATCTTCACTGTAGTTACTGTCAATTTTCACCAATGCCATGAAAAGAAAGAGATTTGGCTTTAAGTTCTGAGTTGGAGCTGTGCCTTAAAACATCACGTTAGTTTCCCAGGCTCTCCATTTAGTGCTACTCAGTAAAGGTACACCTGTCCTATGGCTGTAGCTAGCTGCACCCTTCCAGGAAGAGAGAGAGACCTGCCTATGAAAAATCAAAAAGCTTTGGGAAGAAGCAACCAGACTATTGCAACTCTACAACAGGAACCAGAAACTTTTCAGAGCGGAGAGCAGCTTCCAGCAACCCAGCCATTACCACGGGCTGCCGATTCCAACTGCGCCACCACCTTTGGCTGGCTGCCACTCCCCTCTGCAGCACCCCTGCTGCCTGCTGGTACTTCCTCCCTGCTTTTAGGGACAGGAATTGGTGGCTTGTGGAAGGTGGTGGGAGAGGCAACTTTGGTAGTTACAGCAAGGGGCATGTGCCACAGGAGGTGAGGGAGACTGGCAGAGAGGGCACTGCAGCAGGGTTGGGTGGGAAGACGAAATCAGTGTCACAACACAGGGCAGAGGTGGGGATACGCTGGTCTGAGCTATATGCTGCCAATCCCCCTGTACCACTGTGGGCCAGATCCAAGCACTTAGCCTTTTATACTACCCATGATAGGGCCATCCCCTGCTCACACTGCTTATTTCTATACAGTATTATTTAGCACAGTTAAAGCAATTTTAAATGTAATTTGCAATGTTATATACACATGAGGAAAGTTACTTTTGATCTCCTCCTATATATTATAAACCAAGCAGGTCAATTTTCAATCTCTTCTATAACAGCAAAGTACAGATCTTAAATGTAATACCTTGATCACAATTAGTTTGAAATATAGTCATGTAGAAAAGAAGCAAAAAAGTGCCCAATTCTGGAAAAGATTTAACTATCCACTTAACTTTATACACAAAAGTATTCCATTAATTTCAGTGGTCCTTTTGTGTGATTTGACTTAAGCAGACATGTAAGTCTTTGCAAGGTCACAACATAATATATATTTGAGAAATTATTCAACATAAAAGTTTCATTTTGTCCCTCTCACACTCTATCCATACCCAACAATGAAGTTTCTGTGTGTTTGAATGGAGAAAGGGGAAGAAAAACCCAAAGAAATGTTAACAATCTTTTGATAAAGCATAAACATACCTCTTTCAGAAACTGTTCAAATTGCTCATCTAGTTCTTCTTTTGAAAACCGATGAGCCATAGTCACAACTCAACTTTAACTGCCAGAACCATGGGAAAAATGGCTAATACTACAATGAAAAATAAAGAATTAAAAGCATGATTAACATTACAAGTAGATTAGTGATTTTCATACAGGATCTATAATTTTTTTCAGTTTCAAGACTAGACTAGACATGTATGTGCCAAATACTGTATTTGTTGCAAGTACAACTGGCACGAGTACATGTCTGAATTGACTAGAGTTTCTCAACTTCTTTATACTCAAGGCACTCCTCAATAGACTTGGAGCACCCCACAGAAAATGCCAGCTCTTAATTTTCACTCTTTTTTTTTTTTTTGACTATGAAAAACAGAGCAACTCTTCTGGTGCAAAAAACTCAGAAAGATCACAACAGGTCAGAATGTTTGTAACACCATGGATTCCTGTTTGAAAACTGGGTTTATCTGTAAATCATGTTTGCACATCTAAAAGCGCTAACATTGCATGGCCCTCTGCATCACGCTTGAAAGAACCTCAAGACATCCCAGGGCACCATGGCAACCATCATGAGAATCACTGGCCCTAGAACAGGGATACTCAACCTCCGGCCTGCAGGCTAAATGTGGCTCATGGAGCCATCACATCTGGCCCAAGGGGCTCCCCACAGATCAGGAAATCTGGCGACGGGGGAGCAGCAGCCATTAATGAAGCCATCCTCCCCCCGCCAAATCTGAAAACCCCAAGCCCTGCATGCCCAGTTGGAGCCAGGCTGCATCCCTTTACACCCTGTAGGGCCACGGCGCACTCCACTCCCTGCCCTGTAGGGCCAGGTCACACCTCTTTCC